GTTTCTGGCGCTACACTATAAACAAATACAAATCTTATGTTGGCGAGGATTGGTTACATAATCTCTAATGCCCAGTTGGAGAGAGCTGAAGGGTACAAGAATTTACTTGGAACATTAGGAGAGATGGCGTTGTGGCTAGCGAGGGCAAGATCATAAGCATTGCACTCGCAGCATAGGTGAGTAAAGCAGCAAACATCTGTCTCAAAAAAAATTATAATATTATATTAACGAATAAGCACAGATAAATCATAGTATGTAACTTGCGCGTAAGAACCATCCAAAAATTCGGGCGGATCTGCCTGCTCAGCCATCTTTTGTAGATAATACAATACTAGTATTATGATATATGAAATGCATGCATGCATGCAGAGGTAGAAAAGACTTGCTGTCTATCCCAAATAATTTAGAATTCTGTAGGGTAAATAAAAACTTTAACATGAGAAAATCCATATGTATAACAAAACTATTTCTAAATTTTAGGAAATTATCAATAATACTAGTGCTCTGATGACCAAATTATAACAAATACTTTAGAATAAGTGTTAGTCATGATTATAATTCTGTAAGGTTAGCACTGCTTACTTGATGTGTTAGAAGCTTAGAAGAGAGAGGAGGGTTCTAGTTGAACTCTTCACAATTGGGGGTTAGGTTTATTTTAGAGGGTTTTTTTTTTTTTAAACATCCGCTCATCTTAACTCATAAAGAGAACAAAGGAGTCCTGGAATCTTCCAATTCTTAAAAAAAAAAGAAAGGAAAACATAGATGCCTTCAGGCAGCAACTTCCTGAATTCCTTACCCTCATAGTTTCCAAAGTACCTGATCTGTACTTACCCTATCCTTGCTTATTGCAGTAGAATATGTTCCCCTCCTCCTGTGAAAGCCAGCTCTTCTGCCTGTGCCCTGGGTGCTGTGCTTTCCTGCCTCCCCACGAACTATAATGAACATGGTTCATTATGTTCATTCTGATCTCTTTCATCTCCTGTATTTTTAGCTGCTTTCCTCTCAACCAGATCCTTTTCATTCACATTTAAGCAAACTCTTGAGTTTTCAAATTTTAAAAGCAAAACAAAACAAAACTTTCCTCAACTCTTCTAGTAATTTCTACCTCTCCTTACTTTGATAGCCAGACTTCTCAGAAGAATCTTCTACGCTCACTGTCTGTGTTTCCTCACCTCCCAGTCACATCTCAACCACTCAATAAGGAACCTCCCACTAAAGTCATCAATGACCTCCATGTAGCTAAATCCAATAATACTTCTTAGTCTTCATCTTATTTGATCCTTTCAGTGGGATACTGTTAGCAGACCTACTGCTATAAACTTTCTTCCTTTGGCTTCCATGACACTTAACTAAGCCTCTGCTTTTTTTCCCCCCACTTCTGGGTGTTTGTTTCTCACCCTCCTTTGACAGATAATCCTTGTCCATTTGACCTTTTCTTACTGGGGCCTGTGTGTGCCCTGGAGAATAGTAAGAGTCGAGGACACAGAGGTAGGCAGAGGCTAGATCATGCAGGACCTTCATGAAATATAATAAAATTATTATTCTCAATGCTAATAAGATTATATTTTTGTATCTGTAATTTCATAAAATTACCAATTATGGTATAATTTTTATTTATATAACTTCTGTATATTACTATGAAGGAGCAACAAGCATTGAAAAATATGATCTCCGTACAAATATGTGGACTCCAGTAGCAAATATGAATGGGAGGAGGCTACAGTTCGGTGTTGCAGTGCTAGATGACAAACTGTATGTGGTTGGAGGAAGAGATGGACTGAAGACTTTGAATACTGTAGAGTGCTACAACCCCAAAACAAAAACTTGGAGTGTGATGCCACCTATGTCCACACACAGACATGGCCTTGGTAAGTATAACCGTGCAGATTCACTCAAAATATCACGTAGCTCCCACAGCACGTTTACATTCTGTACCAGGCAGAAGACTGGTGTGGCAGCCACTGCATCAGCAGCAGTCACCAAGCATTCCTCACATGCTGCAATAAAGAACTTGACAGGTCATCATAAAAGATGAGGCCGGATGCAGTGGCTCACGCCTGTAATCCCGGCAATTTGGGAGGCCAAAGCAGGAGGATTGCTTGAGCCCTAGGAGTTCAAGACCATCCTGGGCAACTTAGGAAAAAACAGTCTCTACAAAAAATTTAAAAATTAGCTGGGAAAAAAAATTTTTAATTAAAAAATTAGGTGGCTTGGGCCTGTAGTCCCAGCTACTCAGGAGGCTGAGGAGGGAGAATCATTTAAGCCTGGGAGGTCAAGGCTTCAGTGAGCTGTGATCTTGCCACTGCACTCCAGCCTGGGCAACAGATCTATCTCAAAAAAACAACAAAAAAAAAAACAAAAAAAGATCAATACCAGTGAAGGTATGGTTGAGTTTAGATAGTATGGTTTATACAATACTCAGTTTATTAATACTGACCACCAGAGTAGAGGCTTCCGCTAAATAACAGTAGACAGTAATGAAAACTCTCTAGGGATGAAGATTGAAATGGGTATGGTGGTGGGTACAGTAAAAGTTCAAAGAGACATAGATTTCCACTAGTTGTAATTAGTTCTCAATGCAAGGTCATCTTAAGTTTGAAGTTTGATAAGGAAATAAAACCAGAGGGTTAAGGCAAAGACAGAGAGAAGGAGCTTAAAATTAACTATATGAAATTTAACAAAGTAAACTTGTAAAACATGACTCTTGAGTCCATAAAATCAACTATTATATAGGCACAGACTGGGAAAATGTGAGTTGAGCATGAATGAGACTTAGAAATTTGGGTTGACCATAAAATCCAGGGTAGAGTGAGTCAACTGCGTGCTTCCCCTCCCCTACAATGGGGAAGAAAATGTAATTCTAACACAGGCTAAATCCTTATGGATATAGTACATAGAATGTGATTGCTCATAGTCCAGTTATTCTGTGCAAATGACACTGTGCATTGAATACTGTCAGTAGTTCTAGGTGCCATACAGAAGACTTTACTGAACTGCAGCAAGTTGAAAGGAAAATGATCACATGGCTCAAAACTGTCTTCTTTAAGCCCTAATTTAAAAGTTTTGTGTCATTCAACACAGCAATGTTCTTACTAAATTACCTTGTAATTAAATAACTGTTACAAATTTGAACTTACAAAATAAACTTTTTTTTTTTTTTGAGACAGAGACTCGTTCTGTTGCCAGGCTGAAGTGCAGTGGCGCAATTTCGGCTCACTGCAACTTCCGCCTCCCGGGTTCAAGTGATTCCCCTGCCTCAGCCTCCCCAGTAGTTGGGACTACAGGCGCTTGCCACCATGCCCAGCTCATTTTTGTGTTTCCACCAGTAGAGACGGGTTTCACCATGTTGGCCAGGATCGTCTCAATCTCTTGACCTCTTAATCCACCCACCTCAGCCTCCCAAAGTGCTGGGATTACAGGCGTGAGCCACCACACCTGGCCTAAAATAATCTTTATTATTTAAGAAACATTCCTTTTATCTCTTCATATGTGGGAATTTTATGGACATTTCATTCAAAAAAGGAGTTCTGCTAATTTTTTTTTTTTTTTTTTTTTTGAGACAGGTTCTTGCTCTGTAACCTAGGCTGGAATGCAGTGGTACATTTTTGGCTCACTGCAACCTCTTCCTCCTGGGCTTAAGCAGTCCTCCCACCTCAGCGTGTCTAGTAGCTGGAACTACAGGCATGCACCATCACACCTGGCTAATTTTTGTATTTTTGGTGGAGACAGGGTTTCACCATGTTGCCCAGGCTGGTCTGGAACTCCTGGGCTCAAGCAGTCTGCCTGCCTCAGCCTCTGAAAGTGCTAGAATTACACTTGTGAGCTACCACACCAGGCTTAAAATTTCTTTTCAAAGCCATTTTTTAATGGGTTGAATTAGGTGAACCCCTTAAGTTTTCTGCCCCCTTTGACATATTACGCATTACATATACATGTATATATGTAAAATTAGAGAGATATACATATATCATAAACAAGTATATACAGTATGTGTATATATTATACATGTATATTTTGATATATTTTTGTTTATACATAAATATATACACATATAACGTGTATATGCACGTATAAGCATATAAATAACATGTATGCATATTTATATACACATATGTGTGTGTATATATGTGTACACACACACACATATAAAATCTCCAAAAGCTAGTACTGGTGGGGTACAATATGTAATAAATGAGTGGAATAATACGTTGATTTGGGTCATGCATGAATGATGAGTATTTTTCTTATCTGGCTGTGATTTCACAAATTAAAATATATCTGTAATACAGGGGTTCTTTTGGCCCCCAAGTGAGACATTTTATCTCACCTGGCCATGATCATGTCACACCTCTTCTCAAATCCCCCTACCTTAAAGCCATCTCAAAGCCATCACGGAGACCGTTCTCCATCTCATTCAGAATAAAATCCAAAGTCCTTACAAGAGATAAGATCAGAGTCCTTATCTGCAGTCTCTGCCCTGCATGCTTTGGCTCTACACTCTCCCTCATCTCTTATATTTTCCCCCTCACTCACCCTGCCTAGCCAGACTGGCCACCTTGTTGTCCCTCAGACACAGTGAGCATACCTCAGGACCTTTGCACTGCCATTTCCTCTACCTCACCTTCTCTTCCCCTAGCTATCTCCCAATCTGGTTTCCCAACTTCATTCACATTCCTGCTTAAATGTTACCTTACCAGAAAGGTCTCCCCTGACCCTCTCTATCCTTTTACTCTGCACCACTTTTTAAATTAGCAATGGTTATTAACTAAAATATATTTTATGTCTGTTTCCTGACTATAAGATTTATGAGGGCACAGCCCTTACCTGTTATATTCTGTTGAGTGCCTGGTACTTAGTAGACATGCAGAAGATATTTGTTGAATAAATTAACAAATGAATCTAGCTCAGCTCCCTGCTGATGAATCATACCAATAGATTATGGTATCGAATCTAACTATAGTAAAATCTCATGAATTTGAATTAATAGGGGAGAAGGTATAAAAATACTTTTCCAAATATATCTTAAATCCAAATTATTGAAAAATGTTTTAAATAGTAGCAGTGTATGCATCTGGTGCAATTTTAAAATAATTTTACACTGTTGTACCTAAAAATATTGCCTGTAAAATTTTTAATTTTTTTTAGAGACAGGGTCTCACTCTCATCCAGGCTGGAGGTGTGATCATAGCTCAGTGCATCCTGAAACTCCTGAGTTCAGGGGATCTTTCACCTTAGCTGGGACTATAGGTAATGCCACCATGCCTGGCTAATTTTAACAAAAAAATTTCATAGAGATGGCAGCCTTCCTGTGTTGCCCAGGCTAATCTCACAGAGATCCTTCCACCTTGGCCTCTCAGAGCTCTGGGATTACAGGCTTGAGCCACCTCGCCCACCCTTTAGAACTTTTTTTTTGAGACAGAGTCTCACTCTGTTGCCCAGGCTGGAGTGCAGTGGCGCGATCTTGGCTTACTGCAACCTCCGCCCCCAGGGCTCAATCAATCCTCCTGCCTCAGCCTCCCAAGTAGCTGGGATTACAGGCACCTGCCACCATGCCCAGCTAATATTTGTATTTTTAGTAGAAAAGGGATTTCGCCATATTGGCCAGGCCTGTCTCGAACTTCCCGACCTCAAGTGATCCTCCCACCTTGGACTCCCAAACCACTGAGATTACAGGCATGAGTCACCACGCCCAGCCAGTCTCTAGAACATTTAAGACCAGAACTCCCATGCTATTTCAGCTTCCCACCCACCCACCCACCAACCTACTAAGAACACTGAGGACACATGTCTACATTATAAATGTTTACTCAGTTCCATTTGTATGTTTAAGGCTTATTGTACTTATACTTCAATTAAAATGTGATTTTTAAGACGGCGGCCAATCTGAAGTCGTTGTTTCCTGTCTCCTCATAGGTGTGGCTGTACTAGAAGGTCCCATGTATGCTGTAGGAGGACATGATGGCTGGAGCTATCTGAACACGGTGGAAAGATGGGACCCTCAGGCTCGCCAGTGGAATTTTGTTGCCACTATGTCTACCCCCAGGAGTACAGTAGGTGTGGCAGTACTAAGTGGAAAGTAAGGAAGTACCTAAAGTTCTATTTAAAATGCAGTACACCAAATTTATTAAGCTATATCATTTCTAATTTAAAGATATACATAAATACAGTGATTTGAAGAGACTTTTAAGACAGTGTCTTCTATAATAGTTGTAAATATAAACAGTTGATTGTTAAGCTAGGCTTTCATTTTAATATGCAGATACTGTACATTTCTAGTTATTTTGAGTGAAGACATTTTATATTAACGTTCAATATTAGTAAGTTGTACTGTAAAAATCTGGTATATCTATATTAAAATATTTTATTTAATATACTTTAAAAGTATATTACCTGTATTATGTTTAAAAGCATGTATGGTCTTTTAAAAGTAGTGTAGTCTCTCTCAGTGTTTCTCTAAAAATTCCTTCCATCTTTTCTACTGATTTATCCTGACTTTCACCTCTTTCTTATCTTGGAAAACTGGTGAAAACTAGCATGGATTTATAAAGAGGTGCTCTCTTGCTTCTTGTCTGCTCTGAATAAATAAATATAGGTAGAGCCATCACTAATAGCTCTCTTACTCGGAAAGTAAATGTGTGTCTTTTTCCAGTCCTTTCTTCTTCCATAAAATGAAGCCGTCTGTGGTTGTTAAAGAAAAGTTATTTGTGGGGTACCTTTTGCTCATTTAGAATGCTTTATCATTGTTTCCAGAAAAATAAATGAATCAAGGTTAAAATAGAATTAAAATTATTTATAGAATTTTGTTATTGATTATTATAAGAAAAATGAAAAATTAGTGAAATGTTTTTTATTTTAGGACCTAAGATCTTGTTTCTTCAGGACCCATCAGTTATGTTCTACTTTTTGGTACTTTTTTTTAAGCACTATTACATGTGATAAGATGGATAAATGGAAATCACTTTTTAGATGTTTTTGATCTCCATGCCCCTGCTCTCATTTATTTTAGCCAAAGAAATCACTTCAAAATTCATCACTACATATCTTTCTAAACTCTTTGATAAGAGTCAGCCATTAAATAATCTAGTAAATACAGAGAAAAAGAAAATGAAACAGTATCTTCTCGGCTTTGACCCTTTGGTTTAAACCTTTGGGATTGATTCATTGGATTAATTTTTGTTCAGCAGCATACTTCCTAGCCCTTATTTCTAATAGAGGACAAAACAATAATTGCCTTCTCTGAAACCTGATTTCCGGACCTACAGTAGCTTAGCTTTCTAGGCATAGAAACATCTTACTTTCTTACCTTTTCTTGCCCTCTAATGAGAAATATTTCAATCCTTAACCCACCTAAAGTACAGTTAATTGAATATAATTCAGAGACAACCTAATTAATCATATCAGAAGCTAAGGATCTCTAATCTACTAACTATTAAGAAATTTGATTTTGAAAGTATAGTATATCTAAAGAATCTGGAATAAGTAGAAAATATGCGGTTGGTTGAAAAAAACTAACGATGCATCTTATCATTGCTTTGTGGTTTAGAACAAATCATTTCTCTGTGCCTCAATTTTTTTATTCTGTAAAATGAAGAGCTTTGATTTTTGTGGTTTTTGTTATTTTAACTTATTTATTTATTTATTTATTTTGAGAGAGAGTCTCACTTTGTCGCCCAGGCTGGAGTACAGTGACACAATCTCAGCATACTACAGCCTCCTCCACTTCCCAGGTTCAAGCGATTCTCCTGCCTCAGCCTCCCAAGTAGCTAGGACTACAGGTGTGCACCACCACATCCAGCTAATTTTTGTATTTTTGGTAGAGACAGGGTTTCGCCATGTTGACCAGGCTGGTCTCAAACTCCTGACCTCAGGTGATCCACCCACCTTGGCCTCCCAAAGTGCTGGGATTACAGGCATGAGCCACTGCGCCTGGCCTATTTTAACTTATTTATAATTTCTTTTTCTTTTCTTTTTTTTTTTGGTGGGGGGTGGTGGGGGAGTAGACAGAGTCTCGCTCTATCTCCCAGGCTAGAGGGCAGTGGGCAATCTCAGCTCCTCCTGGGTTCCAGTGATTCTCCTGCCTCAGCCTCCCAAGTATCTGGGATTATAGGTACCCGCCACCATGCCCAGCTAATTTTTGTATTCTTGACAGGGTTTCACCATGTCAGTCAGGCTGGTCTCGAACTCCTGACCTCAAGTGATCAGCCCACCTTGGCCTCCCAAATCTTAAAATTTTCCTACCGTGTTTGACAGAAAGAAACCTTATTTAGACTTCCAGTTGCTCAGGCTACCTTTAAGGCACTGGCTGGCAAATATTTTTAGCAGTTAAATCTCTCTTTCAAATGAAATCTTAAAAATACCTCAATATTTAAAAGGCAAATGGAAGTTCAAGTTTATTTTAAGCTTACTTAAAATGTATCACAAGTTCAAGCTTATATTTACTTATTATAAAAATCTGTGAAGAAGAGTAAGTGCTGAAGAACAGAAGAATAAATTTTAAAGAGCACTCATCTTATTTCTGTGTCTTGTCTTGATTGTCTAATATGAGGAAAATCTTGATTCACAGATAAGAGGCTGAAATGGTAACAGTTATTTTAACTACTAGAGTAATTTAATTGGAATTTCAGGAAATTCTTCAGTTCAATTGCCCAAACAGTTTGAAAGTAGTAATAAATCTTTTTTCTAAGTTGAATCTCAAACAGTATCTGCCAACTACTTGCATTCCTTTTACTTTTGAGACAGGGTCTAGCTCTGTTGCCCAGGCTGGAGTGCAGTGACACGATCACAGCTCACTGCAGCCTCAACCTCCCTCCCAGGCTCAAGCTATCCTCACACCTCAGCCTCCTGAGTAGCTGGGACTACAGGCATGCACCACCATGCCTGGCTAATTTTTAAAAAATGATTTTTTGTAGAGATGGGATCTCACTGTGCTGCCCGGGTTGGTCTCAAATACCTGGGCCCAAGTAATTCTTCCCATCTTGGCCTCCCAATGTGCTGGGATTACAGGTGTGAGCCACCATGCCCAGCCTACTTGCATTCTTGATCATAATTTTAAAAGTCAGGCAAGACCTAAATCTTATTATTAAGTATATATAGGTAGTACAATACTTTCACAAGTTGACATAATATTTCTCTTTTTATTATAATAGACACTATCATGGGGAAGAGAGATGAGTTCTGAGTCTTACATGACATTTAATTGAGCAAGGTGATATTTTTGAAAATTAAAAATAATTTTTAAAATTTGAAATTCAAATGAACCATTTTTTAGACTCCCTCAATTTCTTCATAGAATCCTATTCTTAGAACACAGTTTGAAAATCATTGCTTGAGATAATGATTATTTAGGAAGTGTTACCAATTGATTTTAACCCTTAATATTAGCTGAATATAAACATTGTTCGTACACTTAAGATCTCCTGTAAGTGCTATTTTCTACAAGAACACAGAGACAATTAATTTTTCTCTGTAAATGTTTACACCATGATTATCATGTATTAGGCAGTGTTCAAAGTACTTTAAATTTAATTATCAAGAATCCTATGAGGCAGGGTTTATAGATGATGAAATTTAGATGGAGGTTAAATAACTTGTCCATAGTCACAACTAGTAAGTGGTAGAACCAGAATTGTCTGGTTCCAGAGTTCATGCTCTTAATCATTGTACTGTACCATTCTTTACAATTAAGACCCACGAGTCCACTGTTCAAGAGGGTAAGAGGCTTTAAAGCCTATTGTGTGTGGGTATGTGTGGGTGTGCACACACATATGCATGTGTGAATTATTTTAAATTACTGATCCTCCCTAATTGTTGAAGGCTTCTTATGTTCTGTGATCCATATTTAGATAACTCTTCTACCAAGTATTAGTTGAAGATAAGAATAATATTAAGAACTAGAACATAAACAAGTTACTAATAGATAAAAGTTTTTAACAGATAAAAGAAGTTTTAAGATAAATTTTAATAGATGTTTCAAATAAATTTCAATTTCCATACTATTAATATAGTTTAAGTTTAGAACAAGATATTGCTACAACCATATGTTGCTGTTTAAGATATGGTCATCTTATTATTTAAGAAACAGTTTCAGTGACATAGTGGCATACCTTAATTAGGAAATCTGTGGTTAAATATGTAGATTTACCTAAATATAAATACCTAGAGTTTTAATTGGCAGAAATTTGGGATAATTAAAATATTATTTCTTGAGAAATGATAAAAACAGTTAAGTATTAACTAACATTTGTAAATTCAAAATGTATAATGTTTTTGATGAGCAACAAAGTAAATTTACTCCTTTAAAAAACTAGTAGAAAAAATGTTTATAGAGAGCTTCCCAAATGAATAGTAAATACAAGAAGATTTTTGCTTAACAAGAAATACTGTGTTCAAATATTTAAAATATTTTACAAACGTTTTAGGTTCAGAGTAAAAGACTATTTCAAATTAGTGCAGTGTATTGATTGATAATGAATTTAAATTGATCTACTAGGTAACATTTAGGTCGTTCACGTGATAACCTATATCCTTTTCTGCAGTAATTTAAATTAATGAAGGATCATTGTTCATATGTAACAAATGTTACTTTTTATGCCATTGTTTCAAGCTATATTTTTATTCTCCTATTTCACTATTACAAGTACATTCTACATGACTGTGTTGACTGTCCAACTGTTTGTTCATTAATAAAACTATGTGTCCCGATTCTGCTTCTTACTGGGTGACCCTGTGCACGTCTCTTACTCTCCGTGAACCCTTGTTTCTTTACCTGTGAAACAGGGATTCAAACAGTTTCTTATATCACTGTGATGATTAAATTAGTACATATAAAGTCCCTAACCTACGGTAGGTGCTCAGAGAAGGTTAGTTTCCTTCCTTGATAATAAAGTCTTAACTATTAAAAAAAAATAAGCCATGGTATATTTATACACCATATTTTGTCTATTCTAAGACACACATTTTAACACCTCCAGAATTTCAGTGCATATTACAATCAATGGTGACTTGTCAAAGAGATGGCAGTGGTGAAATAGTTGTCAGTGCCTTCATGTGCAGTTCGTTTTCCTTTTCATGTTTATACAGAGTGATATAAGATACTTACATGTGTCACTTCAAACATAGCATATCTTCTTTAATGACACACACATTGACAGTGTGTTTTATAACTGATGGCACCTTAAATTCAATGAAATAACATAAGAAGAGCCACTTTGTTCTAAGCATAATGGCACAATGTCTTATTTATCATTTCATTTATTCTTTTTACAGACTTTATGCAGTTGGTGGTCGTGATGGAAGCTCTTGTCTCAAATCAGTAGAATGTTTTGATCCTCATACTAATAAGTGGACACTGTGTGCACAGATGTCAAAAAGGAGAGGTGGCGTAGGAGTGACGACCTGGAATGGACTGCTGTATGCTATAGGGGGGCACGACGCTCCCGCATCCAACATGACTTCCAGACTCTCAGACTGTGTGGAGAGGTAATTTTCTGCAAAGAAAAACTAGGAACAAGAAAAAAATATATATAAGTCTCTGATACTTATGTCTATTTGGAGAACATGTTGGAGAACTGGAAGGGAAAGTCAGCATTCAAAAATGCAAAGCAGCTTCACTTTATAACAGCCTGCTCTCACAGGAACTGATACTTCCAGAAAAATAAGTTTGTGTTGAGCATGCACTACACGCAAGGCAATTTTACTTTATATGGGATATTGGACCTAATAAGAAGAGGAGCTTGATGAATTTTATGCAGAATGACTTAAGGGCTGTAGGCTAAATAAAAAGCGAAAAGATAGGGACATTTCTGTGTGTTTTGATATAAAATAAAAAACTAATAATAAGGCTTACAAACTTAAGTCATCTCAACTGGCCTGGCAAAACTCAAGTGTGGTGCCAGGTAGAGAGCCGAAGAGCAGTGGGAGATTTGGATGGTAGGTCAGGTTCCCATTTCTTATGTTTAGTCTAGTACAAGGAATAGCGAGAATTGAATGGATTTAGGCGGTACAATCAATAGGAGTTTGTCTGAACACTCCAAAGCAGAAAGAAATACTGTTCATACAGGAAACTGAAAGGTAGCCATTGTGGCTGGAGAGCAAAGAGTGATGGGGAGGGAATGGCAGGAAAGGAGGCAGAGTGGGCAGGGTGGGTGCAGATCATCTAGACTCCTTGAGGCATTGTTAAGGGTTTTGGATTATAAAGAAAAATAGGAAGTTAATGAGCGCCCATGTGTGACAGAGAGTGTGTGTGTGTTTGTGTGTGTGTATGTCTGTTGGACGTGATCAGATTTTTTTTAAAGATTAGTTTGATTTATTTAAGTTGTACATGACCAAGTGACCATAAGAAGGATAAAAAATAAAGTCAAAGTTTGTTGATGATAATGAGCACTCTCTTAGTCTGTTTCCCATTGCTCTAACAGAATACCCAGGACTGAGTAATTTATAAAGAAAAGAGGTTTCTTTAGCCCACAGTTCTTCAGGCTGGGAAGTTCCAGATTGGGAGGCTGCATCTGATAGGTTCTGGCGAGGGCCTTGTGCTGTGTGATAACATGTTGGAGAATTGGAAGAGAAAGTCGGCATTCAAAAATGCAAAGCAACTTCACTTTGTAACAACCTGCTCTTACAGGAACTAGTGCATTCACACAAGAACTAACCAAGGAGAAAAACATTAATCCATCTTATCAACCTAATCACCTCTTAAAGGCCCCACCTCCCAACACTATTACATTGGCAATTAAATTTCAACATGAGTTTTGGGGAGGATGAACCACATCCAAACGATAACAAATGCTTTCTGTATTGGTGTTGTTTGAGAAAGCGGGAAAGTTACAACTGCATTTCACTTATATTGGGGGGGAAACAATTCAGACCTATGCTCGTTTCATGTTGTAATCCAGGAAAGGAATGTGGAAGTGTTTATATACTTTGCCCCATGAATTATGGGCTTGCTGTTGTACTACACTCAGTGGAAAGCTGTTCATTGATACAACAGATTTAGGAGCAATATCAGTCATCCTAGCATGATGTATCTGCTCTTAGCTATACAACTGTGGGCAATTCTAGTTAAGATACCTCATGAAAGGAGCAAGAAAGCCCAAAACTGGACAGCTACAATGATTGAGGCTGTGAGCCATCTTACATAGAGCTTAATGCATTGATTTCCCCAAATTTTCAGTAGGTAATCTAAGGTCTGAAAGCAGTTTTCAGTACTGACCCTAGCTCCTTTTAAGTGTTATACATCTGTTAAGTGGATCTGTTAATATAATACTGTAAGTTAAAGTTGTCAAAAAAATATTGGTATTTTTCTCAAAAATATGTTCAAATGTATTTGATTTACATAGTACATAATAAGTCAGAAGATAGACTTGAAGAACAAAACTGTTTTTACATAAATATTTTAAGAATAATGTCAGCTCCGGTTCTGAAATTTTCTTTCAGATATGATCCCAAAACAGACATGTGGACTGCAGTGGCATCCATGAGCATCAGCAGAGATGCAGTGGGGGTCTGTTTACTTGGCGATAAGTTATATGCTGTTGGGGGGTATGATGGACAAGCATACCTTAATACCGTGGAGGCTTATGATCCCCAGACAAATGAGTGGACCCAGGTACAGCACTTCATGTTTCATTATTACACTGACTCTCTTTATTAAAACAATTCTTATGGTAAATCAGATCCCCTCAATCTTGTCCAATACTGAAATATATGGCATAAATATGACAATCACCTCTTGATTAAAGATGAGAAAAAGAGGCAATGTTTAATTTTATCACATAATTAAAATCCAGAATTACCTTTGAGATGTAAGTTAATACTCAGAGAAATTATCATTATCTGCTACCACTTGCATGATGAGGTGTTCTAACCTGATTAAAGCCGATAGGACTACAGGCAGGCTGTAACAATGGGAGGGGAGACTGGAAAATAAAAACAAGGATAGTAGTCAGAAAACTATGAACAACTTGCCCATGCATGAGCAGTGATTTTTAAATACTCAACCCATTGATATTTGGGAGCAGATTAAAGTCCTGATAACCTAATGAAGATGGCAACCCTAAATTACACTAAGAAAGAAACCTGATCTGGCAATCTTACTAACAGAAAGAATTTCACCCTTGTGTATTTCTGGGAGGGTCTAGCACTTCTAAGAATGGTCTTTTGAGATCTTTGCTTCCGTCATCACCAAGAACAGAATCAGGAATTTGTGCTTATGACACCGAATTCAGTACTTGGTACGTAAAAGACAATAAATGTTTAGCTGAGCCAAGATTGTATTGTATACAAGGAGCAATGGTAAGTATTGTCAAGAAAACAAAGTTTCTGTGAAGCCCCATGGTCATGTAACCTAAGGTCTTGGGTAGGTAAGATCTACATGTGCAAGGGGAGAATGCACCACACAAGGCAGTGGGTATTTAGTGTCCCGTGGTACAGGCGCCAAGTGATACAGGAGATAAGAGAAAAAAGAAAGTGGTTATGAGGAAAGCTTTAGTGAGAAAGAAGTGGGATTTAAACTAAGCCTTAGTGAATTGATCCAATTCAAAAAGATTGGAAAGAAGAAACTGTGAGAAAATGTGAAAGAAATGTCACCAAAGCAGAATTACGTAAGACATATTGAAGTATGACTGGTTATAAGGATCTATGCTTGAGAGGAGAAGGAGTGCTTACTGGAGAGGAAGATTGGGGTCAGAATGGAGATCTGTGAGACCAAGGTGGGAGGATCACTTGAGGCCAGGAATTCCAAACCAGCATGGGTGACAAAGTGAGATGCTATCTCTACAAAAATTTGTGGGTTTTTTGTCTTGTTTTGTTTGGTTTTTCAGATGGAGTCTTGCTCTTGTCGCCCAGGCTGGAGTGTAATGGCACGATCTCAGCTCACTGTAACCTCCACCTCCCGTGTTCAAGTGATTCTCCTGCCTCAGCCTCCCGAGTAGCTGGGATTATAGGTGCCCACCACCACACCCGGCTAATTTTTGTATTTTTAGTAGAGACAGGGTTTTGTCATGTTGGCCAGGCTGGTCTCAAACTCCTGACCTCGTGATCCACCTGCTTCGGCCTCTCAAAGTGCTGGGATTACAGGCATGAGCCACCATGCCCAGCCCAAAAATTTTGAAAAATTAGCAAGGTGTGGTGGCACGTACCTGTAGTCCCATCTACCTTGGGAGGCTGAGGCGGAGGATCGCATGAGCCCAGGAGTTGAGGCTGAAGTGAACCATGATCATGACGCTGCACTCCAGCCTGGACAATAGAGCAAGACTCTGTCTCTTAAAAATAAATAATCATTTAATAATAATTTTTTTTAAAGAATGGGGATGTGTGAAGGCCAAGCTAAAGAGTTTGTTAACAAGAAGCCAGCAGAAACTTTCAACCAAGTGAATGATGCAGTTGGGGTCACGTAGGTTGGGTTAGGGGCAGGGGAAGTGAGGGCTGGATAAAAGGAAAAATATTTAGAGGATTGCTTCAGTTGCAAGGCTTGAAGCATTCAATGTAGATGGATTCAAGAGATATTGCCAAGTCTTGTTGATCTTTCTTTATATACACACACTTGCTGGGTTGAATTGGGAGGTGTGGTCTCTGAAGAAAACAGAAAAGGAATGAGGAGAGAAGTTCTCAGAAGACAATGGAATAGAGCATCTAAAGGGAGGAGTAGGAGTTTCAACAGTATAAGAAAGAATGAAGATTTGTCATTTGTAAAGTTATGGGATTCTCTGAGAATCTGATAGAAGCAGAAGCCAGTACACAGTTTCAAAAGTAAACAGAAGAGGCCAGGCACACAGTGGCTCACACCTGTAATCCCAACACCTTGGGAGGCCGAGGTGGGCGGATCTTTTGAGGCCCGGAGTTCAAGACCAGCCTGGCCGACATGGTGAAACCCCGTCTCTACTAAAAATACAAAAATTAGTGCTCCTGTAGTCCCAGCTGAGGCACAAGGCTGAGGCACAAGAATCAGTTGAACTCAGGAGGTGGAGGTTGCAGTGAGCCAAGATCATGCCACTGTACTCCAGCCTGGGTGACAGAGCGAGACTCTGTCTAAAAAAAAAAAAAAAAAAAAAAAGTAAACAGAAGAATAGGGTGTAGGAGCTAGAGAGGCATGCAGTTTTTAAATGATGATGATAGAAAGTGAATATTTATTCAGCACATCTTACAGACCAGGCTCTGTTCTAAGCACTGTAAAGAATTTAATCTTCAACAACCCTATAAGGTTGGGTTCTGGTATTTTCCCACTGTACAGGATGAGGAATATGACACAAAGGTTAAACAGCTAACCCAAGGCCACATAGCAAATAAATGGTAGAGTTAGAATTTGAGCCAAGGATTTTTTTTTCCACAATAGAGATGACAAGAAGGTAGAGAAAGATTCTAGATACTAGAAAGAAAGAAAGCAAAACTTGAAGGGCACCTTTCTGAGAAAAGGGCAGGAAACAGAACTAGGAGCAAAGACTGAGGGGCAGGCGCAGTGGCTCATGCCTGTAATCCCAGGACTTTAGGAGGCCAAGGCAGGTGGGTCACCTGAGGTCAGGAGTTCAAGACCAGCTTGGCCAACAGAGTGAAACCCCATCTCTACTAAAAATACAAAAATTAGCTGGGTGTGGTGATGTGCACCTGTAATCCCAGCTTCTTGGGAGGCTGAGGCAGGAGAATCGCTTGAGCCTGGGAGGTGGAAGTTGCAGTAAGCCAAGATCACACCATTGCACTCCAGCCTGGGCGACGAGAGCAAAAACTCCCTTGCAAAAAAAAAAAAAGCAGACTGGTCACCCTCAGACTAGAAGAAAGATCTTACCCTCCAAGCTTGGGAAAAGATAAGAATTTGAGTGTAGTGTGAAGAAAAAGATAGATAAAAAGGACTTAGATTGTGTGGGCTTTATTCTGTTTCTTAAGTGAGATCACTTGATGGAGGGAGGAAGGGGTAAGATTGAGAGCTACAAGATTTCATTGGAAATTGGATGATTACCTAGTATCAGCTTCCCACTATGGCAAAAACAGTTGTGAATGACACCCAAGGAGCTCAGAAAGATAAGAATCTTTTTCTGACATGTATTTAAGCCCTAAGTCCAGTTATATATATGATTTAAGCCCTATCAGCCAGTTATTTGAGACTTGTTATTATTTATAATTAATACTTTATGCTAAATAATCCCATATCAAAATTTATCATCAGTGTCCACATAGCTATTTTTCTTGTAAGCCACCTCTATTACTATGTTAAAACACCTAAAAATGTGAACTCATTTTCATAGTATCTGAAAAATGTAAGTTTTCCTGGGCCAGGCATGGTGGCTCACCCCTGTAATCCCAGCACTTTGGGAGGCCGAAGCGGACGGTTTGCCTGAGCTCAGGAGTTTGAGACCAGCCTGGGCAACATGGTAAAACCCTGTCTCTACTAAAATACAAAAAATTAGCCAGGTATGGTGGCGTGTGCCAGTAGTCTCAGCTACTCAGGAGGCTGCGGGACGAGAATTGCTTGAACCCGGGAGGTGGAGGTTGCAGTGAGCTGAGATGGCACCATTGCACTCCAGCCTGGATGACAGAGCAAGACTCCGTCTCAAAAACAAGCCAAATAAACAAAAAAATTTTGAAGTTTTCCTTTCAGTGTTCTGACAGATGGACATTTGTATAGGCACTAAAACAAGATAACAAAGTCCTAAGCCACTACCCCCTCACTACCAGCCTTACCTCAAAGCAAGAGGTGATTGTATTGTATTGATTGATTGTATTGATTGATTGATTGATTGTGATTGTATTGTATACAAATTCTCTAAGCTACACTTTCTAGCTGGTTGTCATGACAGTGTCAACTATTCACAGTGTAGAGACTAAATGTCTTGGGTGATTTGAGAAGAGCTACTAATTATAAACTGACATTTTGATATAAATGATTTTTGAGGTCAGTTTGATAATGCTATAAATAGATATGGTTTTAAAATAGGTTATTTGATTGTTCCAAGAGACTTACAGTGATCAAAACAACTGATTCAGATGGAGAACTGCTAAGTATTCTCTTATAACTGAAATCTGACCTGTTCTTAAAATCTACTCATTGGTCTATGGGGTCAAACTGATTAGGAAGTCATTTTGGCATTTGACAAAAATACTTTAGTATATACCCTAACATATATAAGTACAAAGCAAACCTTCCTAGTACTTTTCATTACTCACCCCCCCAATCCATGTTAACATTTTAACTCTCCTGGGTCAAATGCATAGATTCTTACTGCGTTCAGAGTAATTCTTCAAAAACTATTTTTGTTCACACTTTTATTTCCACTATAAATTACCCAGTGTCTAGAGTTCCTATTGTTTAAAAAAGAGGTGAAAGATTTAAGAATTGTTCTTTATCCATAAATTTAGATTGTATTCCTTCCTAGCAACCCTCCCCCGACTTCTCTCTCACTGTAACAGAGCTCATTCACTGAGTTTGTTTCCACTCCTAGGGGAGTTGGATGGGTAGCATTTATTATTTATTTAGTCTGCTAAAAAGTAGTAGAATGGGTTTAGACTTTTCAGCCGTGCACATAGAAGGTAGTCAAAAAATGTGAGGTTACGAGTTCTTCTAGAATAAGCAGATCCCCAGGCATTCAGAGTATTTTGTGTGCTATCTCTGAGATAGCATGGCTGTTAGAGGACCTCTCTAGATAAAACTTGATCTTTCCTCCATATTGGTCACAGTGTTACTGTAAGTGTTCAGCATTTCTTCATATCCATACTGTGCATCATTTTGGCTAAAATAGAGTGTTTCATGTAGATTAATTCTTGAGCTGTTTTTAAAAATCACCTTTAAAGAAGAGTGAATGCTACACAATCAATGATATACCCAGAACAACTTAGTCTGTGAAGCTTTGCCATGGAGAGTGGTTCTTGGGAAGAGGACCAGGCCAGAAACAGCACTGATACAGCAGGGGCCAGGGCAGCAACCCTTTGCCAACAAGTACAGGCTGCTTCAATATTTCACCAACTGGTATAGTAGAGTCGACATTTTAACCTACAAATCCAATACATATCTCTTTTTCTTTTTCAGGTTGCTCCACTTTGCCTAGGAAGAGCTGGAGCTTGTGTTGTGACTGTAAAATTATAATTTAGTGCTCTGTTTTCTACATGAAGACACCGTCTTCCTTTATTAATTTAGTATAATTATTCTATCAATGGATACATTTTTAGTAAACGTGCATTGTCACAATCCTGGGCACAAAGTGCCTGATCTCAAAGTGAAGATAGTAAAACAAAGGAGGAAGCAGTGGATGGACCAGGATTAATTCCTTTCATTTCTTAGTAAATTAAAACATGCAGCTGGTGGATTGTGAACACACATTCCTGATGTAATATGTGAGGACAAATGCACTGCCCTGGAACATAACCCAGTGCTAACTGGGGGTTTCACTTAATTCAGTCAAGCACATCTTACTCACATCCAGATTTATTTTCCTACAGTGCAGACACACCAGATGAAACTTTAAAATGCTACTTTTTGTAAGCTTATCATACATGAGTTGCAGTAATTTGTTTGCTTGTTTAACCACAACCACTATTTTAATGATACACTAAAGATAACACTATTTAGTTTTTTCAGAAACATCTGCATTATATGTGTGTTGGTTGTGGATTTTGTTTCTAAAATTGGCTTAGTCCAATAAATAAAGAAAAGCATTAAGGACTTAAAGCAACAATAACCAAATAAAAACTTGATAGGATCTTTGAAGTCTATTTAAATATTCATTCCATTACATCTAGACTCACCAAGAACTACATGTTATGATGTTAAGTTGAAGTTGAAACATGATGTTTTGCATTAAATTTAAGATATGCAAATTTATGTAGAGAAAATAAATGTTATATACCCTATAATGTTCTTTCACCTAATTAGTATTTAATTATATGGATTTGTTTTATATTATAAAAGATGTTTGATTTTGTCTTTTGATATTGACAAAATTGTTTGGATATCCTTATGTTCTGAAGTCTGTATCTGCCTCCCCTGCCTTATTTCTTATGTTTTGCCACAGTTAACCCATTGTGCTTCTTTGTAATCAAAGTTTGTGGGGGAATGGGCTTATTGAATGTCTAAAAACTAAGTTTAAAGTGTTTGTTACCCTAAGTTTTTTACATTTGTAACTCTGATTACATATGTGAATGTTATTACTCTCAGTGAATTGTTATTGTTTGCAAAAATGCACTGGGCAGTAGCATTTTGTGATAAATCCTACAAGATATAAGTCATTGAGATGTCTAAGATGCTTTTTATTTTAACCCCAATTAGTAACCACCTTATGGAAAATAATATTTGCTAATATTGTTTATTGTGAACTAAGAATCAAAGTTTTTGTATGCATCAATGCACTTAATCCTCACAACAACCTTATGAGGTAGTTCTATTACCTTTTTATAGCTAAGGAGATTGGGGTACAGAGAAGTTAGCCCCAAGGTTATATACCACAAGTAAGTGGTAGAGCAGGGATTCATACAAAGGCCATCTCACTCAGCAGTCTTCACTCTTACTATTCCTACCACTAGGGAGAAAAAGAAAGATTTCGGCTGGGCGCAGTGGCTAACGCCTGTAATCCCAGCACTTTGGGAGGCCGAGGCAGGTGGATCATGAAGTCAGGAGATCGAGACCGTCCTGGCCAACACGGTGAAACCCTGTCTCTACTAAAAAAAAAAAAAAAAAAAAAAAATCATGAACCCTGGAGGCGGAGCTTGTGATGAGCCGAGACCGCGCCACTGCACTTCATCCAGCCTGGGCAACAGAGCAAGACTCCGTCTCAAAAAAAAAAAAAAATTTCATTTTATGTGAGGAATTATTTATTTTAATTGTTTAAATCTCTTATGGAATTTTACAGATTTTGCTTTAGAAAAGTAGATGCAATATAATATATTTCAAGTTTTATACATATTAGATGAATTGCATGGTATTTCAGGCAACTTAACTATAAACAAATTTATTCATAAAAACAAGCATTGTTGCCAACAATTTAGATGACCTAGATTAAAAAACACACCAATTGACAAAACAGGCTCAAAAGGAAATAAAAATTCCAAACAGCCCTATAACAAGTAAAAAAAAACTACTCAAAAATCTCCCAGCAAAGAAAGTCCAGGACTAAATGAGTTTACTGGCAAACTATGCCAAACATATGAAGAAGAATTAACACTAATCCTTCTCGAACTCTTCCAAACAATGGAATAGAAAGGAGCACCCTGTGACCCATTCTCCAAGGCCAGCATTACCTTAACACCAAAGCCAAAGACCTCACAGGGAAACTACAGACCAATATCCCTCATGAATATAGATGCAAAAAAACTTCAAAATACTAGCAGGCCAAATCTAGTAGCTTATTAAAATGATCATACAGCATGACCAAGCAAGATTTATCAAAGAAGTGCAGGGAACATGGTTCTACACACAAATGTCAATCGATGTAATATACCATATTAATAGAATGAAGGGAAAAAACAGCATAATCACCTCAGTTGATAAGAAAAAGCATCTGACAAAATCCAACACTCTTTCATGGTAAAAACACTCTGCAAACTAGGAAGAAAAGGGAACTTTCTTAATCTGATAAAGACATTCATAAAAACCCACAGCTAACAACATAATAGCAAAACATTGAAAATTTTTCCCCTAATATCATGAAAATTCCTGGTTTCCCCACTGCTATTCAACATTATACTAGAAGGTCTAGCCAGAGCAATTAGGCAAGAAAAAGAAATAAAATGAATCCCAAACAGGAAGAAGTAAAACTACATTTGCAGAAAACATGGTCCTATGTACTAAAAATCCTAAAGAATCCACACAATGATTCCAGCTGATTTTAAAAATTCAGCAATGTTGCAGGTTGCAAGATCAACACACAAAAGTCTAAGAAAAACCTGAGAGAAAATTAAAACCATTTATAATAACATGAAAAAGAATAAAATACGAATAAATTTGACCAAGAAAGTGCAAGACTTGGACACTGAAAAGTACAAAACGTTGCTGAAAGAAATTAAAGAAGACCTAAATAAATGGAAGATATCCTGTGCTGGCAGGTTGGAAGACCTAACATTGTTAAGATGGCATTACTCCCAAAATTAGTCTATAGATTTAATAAAATCCCCATTAAAATTCCAGTGACCCTTTTACAGAAACAGAAAAGCTGACCCTAAAATTTTTACAGGATTGCAAGTTACTGAAGGCACTCAAGTTTGTTCAAAACAATCTTGAACAAGAATAAAGGTGAAGGACTCGCATTTTCCAGTTTCAAAATTTACTGCAAAGCTACTTCAGTCAAAACAGTGTTGTGCTGGTATAAAAATATATAAAGCAATAGAGTAGAATGGAAAGTCCAGAAATAAATTACGTCAATACACTATGGTCAATTGATTTTTTTGACAAGGGTTCCAAGACCACTCAATGAAGAAAGAACAACTAATAGTGCTAAGACAAGTGAATATTCACATGCAAAAGAATGAAGTTGTACCCGTACTTCATACCATATATAAAAATTCAAAATGGATCAAAGACCTAAATGTAAGAGCTAAAACCATAAAACTTTGAGAAGAAAATATAGGAATAAGTCTTCATGACCTTGAATTTGACCATGATTTCTTAGATATGGCACCAAAAGCACAAAGCAAGACTCCATAAAAAAAAAAAAAAAAAAAAAAAAAATTGGGCTTCGTCAAAATTAAAAGCTTCTATATATCAAGGGACACTATGAAGAAAGTGAAAAGACAACCCACAGAATGGGAAAAAATCTTTGTAAATCTTAAATATCTGCTAAGGAACTAGTATCTAGAATATATAAGGAACTCCTATGCTCAACAAAAAGACAACCCAATTTTAAAGGGGCAAAGAACTTAAATAGACATTTCTCTAATAAAGATACACAAATTGCCGACAAGCACATGGAAAGATGCTTAATGTCATCAGTCATTATGCAGATCAACACCACAGGAAGATACCACTTCACACCTATTAGAATGACGATAACTTTTTAAAAAGAAAATAGACCTAGGATCTAAACCTATAGGTAAAAAATAAATAATAGAGAAAATAAGGGTTAGAGAGGATGTGGAGAAATTGAAAACCTTCATTCATTATTGGTGGGCATGTTAAATGGTGTAGCCACTGTGGAAAACAGTTTGGCAGTTCCTCAATAAGTTAAAGAATTACCATATGACCCAGCAAGTCCAGTCCTGGACATATACTGAAAAGAACTGAAACAGGTGTTCAAGAAAAACTTTCACACAAACATGCTTCGCAGCACCAATCACAGTAGCCAAAAAAGTGGAAACAACCCAAATGGCCATCAGCTGATGAATGAATAAACAAACTGTGGTATCTACACATGGCAAAATGGAATATTGAGCCATAAAGAGAAATGAGGTACTGATACATGCTAAAACATGGATGAGCCTTGAGCACATTTTGCCAAGTGAAAGAAGGCAGACACAAAAGGCAATGTATCACGTGAGTGCATTTATATGAATATCCAAAATAGGCAAATCCATGGAGACAGAAAGCAGATAAATGGTTGTAAGAGGCTGAGAGAAAGGAGGAGTGGGGAGTGATTGCTAAAAAGGAGTTTCCTTCTAGGGTGATGAAAACGTTTTGGAATTACTTATTGGGGATGATTGCACAACATGGTGAAGGTACTCAATGTCACTAATGGTGAATTTCACATATGCTTTACCATAATGTTTTAAAAGCTTTATTAGCTACATTATGTTATGATACTTAAATGTCATAATAATAGCATTCTGTACGCTTCACTAGGATCAAAACACTGGATTTATATACATCCGGAAGAGAATTTTTTCAATGTAATTTGCAAATAAATTAATTTCTAAAAATCTGACAGAAAGGCTCTTAAATCTTAATTTCAACCTAAGAAGGGAGTGAGAAACACTGAGAGCCATGAGGGGAGAATTAACAGGAACTCCCCCCGATCTGGTACATGGCAGGCATTCCACAAATGTTTTCTAAAAGTTTAAATAGATATCTTTTCATGAACTCTGTAATATTTGGAATTGTTAATAAGTCTTACTCAAAAACAAATATTCAATAAAATGGTATTTAATTTTACTGTGACTAGATAATAAATTTTCATGTAATTTTTTTATTTTTTAACTGGAGTAAAACAAAATCAAATGCCATGAAAAATTATAGGCTACTTACGGCATTTTCATCATTCTGAGTCTTAAAGAACTTGTAAGAACACACCACCTCTCCCATCACAGCCTTTGTCCTCATTCCTAAGGCATAGGAGAGTATCATGTTTATTTTGTATCTTCTCTTGGGGCTGAACAAAGCGCAAGCCTCTTGAAGAAATTCCGTATTGACTGATGTGGGTATTGGCATCATCGCTACACTTCACTGCCACCCTCATTTCCCCCTAGTCCTGGGTAATTATTTGGGCTAACGAGGTACAATTTAGAGAGCAAACCCAGGGAAGCTCGGGAAGCAAATCTAGTGCCCTGGATCTTTGCCCAGGCTCGAGCTGGTTCCATTTCACTATATTTCTTTGTGGATAATAAACAATTATGTTTAATTGAGGTATTTTCACATAGTTTTGAGGACAGCAAAAATCACCTGGTGGCCATCAAGCAGACCATCCAGAGGCAAAACTCCTTATGTGAGGAAGTCAGAAGTCATTAGACGGGGCGCCCTATTATCTTTTTTTTTTCTTTTTTTTTTTTGAGACGGAGTCTCGCTGTGCTCCCAGGCTGGAGTGCAGTGGCGTGATCTCGGCTCACTGCAAGCTCCGCCTCCCGGGTTCACGCCATTCTCCCGCCTCAGCCTCCCAAGTAGCTGAGACTACAGGCGCCCGCCACCACGCCCGGCTAGTTTTTTGTATTTTTAGTTAGCCAGGATAGTCTCGATCTCCTGACCTCGTGATCCACTCGCCTCGGCCTCCCAAAGTGCTGGGATTACAGGCTTGAGCCACCGCGCCCGGCCTGCGCCCTATTATCTAAAGCCAGCATCTGGTACTAGGCTTTGTTACCAAAAATGTATTTAATATAAGTAATTAGAACTTTTTATACATCTCCAGAATGAATGTGTGTGAAAAGTTACTGTGCAACCCTTGCTAACATCAAGGCACCAAAATGTCTACAAATGTAATCATTTACCATGGCTTGTGTAACAAATGTGGTCAAAATTACCCTTAAGGTCCATAAATACCTTGTTATTAGTCCATTTTCACACTGCTCTAAAGAACTCACACCTGCAATCC